ACTGCCCAGGACGAGCCTCCTCCCCAGGTCCTCACCATGCTGGGAGCTCCCCGAGGGCAGAGACGGTGTTGGCTCTGGTCTCCAAAACAGTCGCACTCTCCACCGTGGCCCCAGCTCACCCGTGGGGCCGGATGAGCCGCGGAGTAGACGAGTGCGCATGTGCATGACGCAGCTCCGCCGGGACTTGGTAGCGGACGGAATGCGATGGGGCTCGTAATGTAGCCTCAAGTCCAAGGCAGCCTGGGAGGAAGTCCCGGCAAGGGGCCGAGTCCGGCGCAGGGAGAAAACTCTCTGAAAGGTAGATTCATTAGGTCCCTCGTGGCTTCAATGACCAGGGTGGGAGGGTAGAAGTAACAGCGAGTGACATTTATATAAAGTGGTACAGTTTATAGAGGTCTTGCACGGGCATTCTCTTACTTGATGAGGGAGGAGCGCAGGGTGGGGCTTCGTCACGTGGCCCCAAAGTTCGCCTGTCCTGGCTCTGTCGCGGGACTGTGTGACCCCTGAACGTCAGTGCTCGCGTGTCCCGATGTCCTCCCGTGTGCACAGAGACGCGGACAGTCCCCGACGCATAGCTGTGTTGCGGTGATTAAAAAAGGTAGGCCATGCTCGTAAAACACCCAGGACCGTGCCTGGAGCATAGTAAACACTAAATAAAAGTTGGCTGTTATTACTTAATCCTCCCAATAGGGCCCCGGAGATGTGTAGACATGCCCCGGTTTACGACCCGCAGACGGGGGCTCAGAGAAGCTTGGAGGGGCCTGTCTGAGGTCACAGTGGAGACGCGGGGGTGGGGAGGCAGGGCGTGGACCAGGTGTGTTTGACCCCAAAGGCCTGCCCTTGCCGCTCCCCTTCACGTCACCTCCGCAGACGTGCGCGCTGCCTGGACCCACAGGCGGGGGGAGGACATTCTGCCGCAGCTGGCAGCGCACGGGGTGTTAGAGAAGAGGACTTCTCTTGTCTGGATGAGCTAAGCTCTGCCCAAGGCGCGGTAGCTGGGAAGGCACTTTGTGCCCAACCAGAGTATAAGGGCATTCTCAAGCGTTCTTAGTATTGCTACTTTAACAGAGCACTTCGCCCCGGCTGATGCGTTGGCCACAAACCAAAAGGTCACCGGTTAGATTCCGGATCAGGGCACACGTCCACATTTAGGGGCCAGGTCCCCAGTTGGGGGAGCACATGAGAGGTAACCGATCAATGTTTCTCTCTCTTTCTCCCTTCCCCTCTCTCTAAAAAGTAAACAAAATCTTTAAAAAAAAAAAGCACTGAAGTTTTTTTCCTAGCACCTGTTCGCCCTGTTCTGTAACAGCACCCTGGCTTCCCTCGGGATAACTGCTCCCTTTTGGCTTGTGTTTCGGGTTAGCCCTGGCCCAGGGCCGGGCCGGCGGGCATTCCCGTGTTCCCTGCTGCGCACAGCGGCTCGGAAATGGACGTGTGATCTGAGCAGAGAGCTAGCAGGCTCCCCCGCAGGTCTTGCATCAGCAAAGAGACTCTGCCCTTCCCCCGGGGGAGGCCGAGAGCGCATGATCTAGTCCCGAGGTCCCGAAGCCGTCACGCCACCACAGTGGGGACAGCCTGCCCGAGAGTGGGGCCGGCCCAGCCCCAAGCAGCGCCGAGAGGTGGAGAGAGGGAGGCACAGCCCCAGGTCCCCTGGATTTAACTGGGCCTGAGTCAGTCTGGAGCTACCTGGGCTTTTCTGTTCTGCTCGCTCTCTCGTAAGCGCCCACCAGCTTTCCAAACACGGCGCCTTCCCATCATTGCATCCGCTCACTATCCCCACAGCAGCTCAAAGGACAGGGTCGCAGCCCCTTATGACAGAGGGGGACATGGAGGCTCAGAGGGGCAAAGCGACTTGGCCACAGCACACAGGCGACGCAGGTCCCTTCTGCCCAGGCGTCCCTCTGGTAAGAAGGCCGTGGCGGCGTTTGGATAACGCTCTGGTCTCCTCTCTCCCGCTGCCATCCGGCGGGGATGCATTTCCTCTTGGAAATGTCACGTGGGGGGCGGGGGAAGGGATCTGGAAAGGCGACGTCTTTGGCTCCATCCCTCCCTGCCCTCAATTATCCCTCTGACAGCCAATTCAAGCCAAATTGGATTTAGTGCATTTCACAATTTTCGTTGAACAAATTTGTGGATTAAAGGAACAAATTAAACCCATATTTTTATTTGACATCATCGAGAATATGACATGCAGACTGGAAATGGACCTTTCCGGTCTTGAAATAATTTCAGTGGAGCCCAAAGCCCCGCTTCTCAAGGGTATTTTTTTTTTTTTTTTTTTAATAACCTGATTCTCACAAAGACCTTTGGGAAACCCGGCCCCGGATCCTACCTGAGCGCGGGTTTGGGCTGGGCCGCAGCACCCATAACTGAGGTGTGATTCTAGCGGGGAGGGCCCCTCTCTGCACCCGCCCACCCTTCACCTCTCTCTGGTTTTCCCCATGACTTCCCCTGTCCATAGCTTAGTTTAGGGCTCAGCGTTTTTCTGTAACGAACGAACAGGTTTCCGTGTCGGTGCCGACATAAGCACCTTGTCACTGCTCTGAACTCTTAGGCCGATAACCATGTAGCTCATTTGGCAATGAGTTAGGTGCCTTCAGTGCTTCACCCAGTGGCATTTAAAACAATGTAGATACTTCACTTTCCCCTGTTTCTTGGCTTCACGGTAGAAAGCCAGGCGGCATCTGGGTGGGGAATACAACTTCTCTCTGTGTACTGGACACGTCATTGCATGCAGTGAACATTTATTGTCTTATGAATTGAATTGGCATGGTTACTGAACAATGAAACGAGAACTTTTTAAGAGAGAGAAGACACCGTCTTGGCTGAGCTGTATGGAGGGGAGGCTGGGCGCCTGCTGGTTTACTGTGAGGGCTTCGATGCCAAACAGCCTGGGTTGGAGTCCTGGCTCCCCACTCACTGGTTTTGTGATCTGAACAACCATGCAGTCTGTCCATGCCTCAGTCCCCCCCCCAATAAACTGGAAATGACAGTAGCGCTCGACCGAGCCCAGAAATCAGGGACACAGGCAGTCTCGTCTCTCAGTATCAGCTGTCACGATTTGATGATTTCCTCCCCATCATCTGTATATTCTTAAGAAGTACATATGGCGAATACCTGGGCGCACTTCACCGAACCCAGTTTTTGTCTTGTCACATTCTTACCTTTAACACATGTGCTATCTGAAGGATTGTGTGTTTCCCCCCGCTGTGTAAGGTGAAGGAACAGAAAAGCAGCCGACCCCACGCAGCAGAACGAGCAGAGTGGAATGCAGAAGCGTCAGTGCTAACCAAAGGGCTGAGGGAGCGTCGGGAGGCTGCCAAATAGACCTGTTCAGTAAAAGGGAGGTGGGGGGAAACCGTCCACTAACGTGAATGAAAAGTTGTTTGTGATGCTGGCCTCGGGCGCCAGGTGCCTCAAACGACGGAGAGATGCGGGCGACAAGCAGTCACGACATTTCTCCAACTGGCCATTTGCCCCGTGACAAGACCCAGCCTGTCTCTTCCTCTCGCCTGCACAGGTTACCGGGGTCAGGCCCCGAGTCACGGCCCGGCGGCCTCTCCTCTGGAAGGGGAGGAGGCCCTGAGCCCTGGGGATCCGCTCTGGAGACCGCCCCCCCCACCCCACCCCCCGCCGTCTCCTCCAGCAGCGCCCTGCTGACCGCTCTCAGACTGCGTCCTGAGTCTCTCCCTGCACTTGCGCCCTCCCGCGAGCCCCCCGTTTCCACCGGCAAGCTGCAGCACCTCGCCACCTGGTCCCCTCGGCTCCACTCTGAGACGCATCCTTCTCCAAAGTCGCCTTAGGGTCTTGAGGTCACCCCGCTGGCCTATAAACTCGTCCACCAGGGGCTGGCACGTGCGCGGCCCAGCCCATCCCTCCTGATGGAAAGGAAGGGGCCGGACCTGCCTTCTGAAGCGAAAGACAGTTCTCTCCCCAATGGAAACCCCCTCTGTAGACACGGGGGTGGACCCCGGACTAGGTCAACGGGCAGCATTTTGTTCACCTTGTTCAAGTGATCGCCGACTTCTGAGTTATGAAACGGAGTCAGACTCTGCTGCGTAAGGGCGGCCTTTGGATTGCTCACGCCCAGGAAGGGAAGACAGAGTGCGCGGTAGCGCGATGAGGCTGGCCGCTCCCCACTGGGTCACCGGCCCCTGCGGGTGGGGGGCCCCACCGGCACGGTGTCCCTGTGCGGCCTTGTAGGGGGCACAGTGTGTGCCCAAGAGCCTTCAGGGCTTTTGCTCCTCCGCTCGGGGGCTCTGCTAATGCCCTCAGGGGTGGCTCTACTCCTTGAGGGTCTAGGCTTTTGCATTTCTTTTTGCAAGGTAGCCCCTGCTTTTTGTGTGCATGCACCTTCTCTGAGAATATCTCTGGCTGTGTTCGACAGGTCATCCAGAACACACGTGTATTTGTAGTCACATAGACGTCGAAGATAAGCACGTGTGTACTGTCAGGTACCTGCTCTGTGGCGGACACACTGTGTATTGCACACACGTGACCCTCACTGGGACCCTATAAGGCGGAGCTGGTTCCTTACGAAGGAGGCAGTTTGCCTGAGACGGTAAGGGATTTTGCACAGCACTCCCGGGGAAAGTGGGAGGGAAGGCTCCTGACCCCGCAGCTGGCCCCGAGTCCACATCGATGCCCGTGGGGCCAGGACGTCCTCCTGCTTCCAGGGTGCTGGAAGCCCTCCCCAGGGCACCTTCCTCACTCCGTGCGCGCCTGACGTCTCCTCTCTCCGGTCCCGGAAAGTTCACCTGATATCCCCGCCGTGGGACCAGCGCCCTGTAAGCGGGAAGACGTCCTGGCCTGGTGTCCTCCTGGCACTTTCCAGCGTTCAGGAACCAGCAGTGGCACCGACCGCATTCTCAGTGTCCCAACTTTTATTTTTTGCCTGCCTTGAACTTCAAGTGTCAGGGCTTCGCCCTACTTGGAGGAGCCCTTGGCAAGTCTCTCCCCCATGTCCTTGGCCTCTCTCCCCAGGTCCCAGCCCTGGCTCCCTACAAGTGATTCCTGTGGGTGCAGCAGGGCCCCTGGGGCTGCCCCTCCCCCAGGAGGAGATCCAGCCACTCCTCCAGGTCCCGCACCAGCCGCTCCATCTTGCACACCTCGCTCTCCAGCTTTTCCAAGAAAGCTTGCACGTTCTCCTTCAGCCAGGTCCTGATGACCCTTATCGGCTCTTTCATGGGGCCACTGGCCTGGTGTTCGAACCCCTGAAAGGCAGACACCGAAGTTACATCTTGAGCATTTTCACATAGGACCCCTTGGCCACTGGTCTCTGAAAGTAGCCTGAGCCTTTGCGCATGCTACTCCTTCTGCTTGGAATACGCTCCCCCGGCTCCTATGTATCCTTCAAGACCCAGCTCGCCAGCGATGCCTCCAGGGAGCCTTCCCAGGTTTCCTCAGCCATGCTTGACGTCCCTTCAGCATCCCTATGTTACCTGGGAAGCCACAGGATGTTGGGGGCAGCTGCACTCTCTGATCCTTTCTGACACATCCCAACTTCTCCCTGAAATGGGCACAAAGACACTTCTTAATGAGGGCGAACGGGCAGCAGTTGATGGAAACATGTGGGTGGCCACCCCAGTGGGACGAAGGGCAGTGGGAGAGGGCACACCCGAGACCACCCTGGCGTGCAGCCCTCCCCAGGGCGCCCTCCTGACTCCGTGCGCGCCCGACGTCTCCTCTCTCCGGCCCCGGAAAGTTCACCTGATATCCCGGCGCCCATGTACAGCACCAAGATCAGCAGCGCCAACAGGGTCTGGGGGCGAGAGGAGGGGGAGGGCGGGGATGATTGCTGGGGGGCACGTGGGCGCCTGCTTCTCCTGGGCGGGGGGCAGCGATAAGATAGTGCTCAGAGATGAACTTTTCCCCAGTTATCTAAGTCACTTGCTCACCCCTGAACCCCCAAACCCTGCAGAAACAGAAACCATGGCAGCCAACCGACATTTCTTTGGAGTTTTCCTTTCTTCTCCCTCTTGAGAAGGAAGGCCCACCTTGTTCTCGCTCCTTGCCTCACTTTTGCATCCTTTGTCTCGAAGGATCTTTAAAAGGGCTCAGCTTTACTGGGTGTTTTGCACGCAATCAAAGGCACACATTTTAAATGTACAATTCAATTAGGGTTTTGTTTTTTTTTTAAGATATTTAGTTTTAATTGAGTGCGGGCTGGGAATCAAAGTGTCCCAGGTTCGATTCCCAGCCAGGGTACATTCCTGGGTTGCAGGCCAGAACCCCCAGCAACCGCACATGGATGTCTCTCTCTCTCTCTCTCTCTCTCTCCCTCTCCCTCCCTCCCCCCCTTCCCTCTCTAAAAATAAATAAATAAAATCTTTAAAAAAATTAAGATAAAAAAAGATATTTAGTTTTAGAGCAGAGAAGGGAGGGAGAAAGAGAGGGAGAGAAACATCAATGTGTGGCTGCTTTTCACGCGCCCCCCACTGGGGACCTGGCCCACAACCCAGGCATGTGCCCTGACTGGGAATTGAACTGACGACTCTTTGGTTCGCAGACTGGCACTCAATCCACTGAGCCACAGCAGCCGGGCAGTTCGATGAGTTTTGAAAAATGTCTGTCCCTGTGGACTCCCACCGCAATCACGATATAGAACACTTCCATTATTCACACCCGGGTGTGTGTGGCCAACGTGACAGGCATTGCCCGGGACACTAAAGATTAGGGCGCTTTTATTCCCGCCACAGTGTTCCATGGGGACCTTTTCCTGTAGGACACGCAGAACCAACCCGCTCTTCACAATGGCTGATGAGCAGGGGTCCGAATGCTCTGTGCTCTCTCTAACCCGCCTCTGGCCACGTGCTTTACCGGTGGATGGTTCCCCACCAGCCCGCTCGCGGCTCGGTTTCTATTTTGTATTCTTTGGCGGCAAAGTGGGGGCAGGGGGAAGGCAGTGAGGCTTAGGGACTAAAGTTAAGTTTTCTTCTTTCTCTTTGTGCTGTCTTGGGCCTGAGCCAAATCATTGCTCCTCTTGGAGCCTCCGTTTCTTCGTCTGCAAAATGGGTTTGGAAATAGAGCGCTTTCGGAAAGGAGGGTGGCGGCTCGGATCATGAAATCGGGCGAACGTCCCTGCCGAGGGGTTCCTGGGGGCCTTCGCTCTCTGAGCGAGTGGTGTGCCTCCCCACGAGGGGACGGGGTGTCAGCGTCCCCCACTCCACAGAACCCGTTGAGTGCTGTTTCTAAAAGGAGCTCCCTGGGGTTTGGCGTTTGCGGACACTTTTTAGGAAAAGCCGCAGGCGGTGTGAGGGGAGCCCTCGGCCCCCATCTTGCTGTGAGGTCCAGCGCAAAGGAGATACCATCGTGTGTACAGCACGTGAGCAAGTGCACAAGTCTTTTGAAAACGTCTGTAGATCAATCATCCATCGCTTTGCTTAACACCTTTCAGTGCTTTCTGATTCATCTCAGAACGAAACCCCACCCTTCCAGGGTGCGGGAGGCCCCGCCCACCTTCCGGCCTCCCTTCCGTCCCTCCCTCACTTCCCGCCCCCCGCCCCCCCGGGGTGGGGGGGGGGCGGCAGCCTGCAGGGTGATCCTGCTAAGGGCTCTGCAATCAGCTGGGCCTGGTTTTGGATCCCAGCATGCACTTTCTGTCCGTCCTTTTTGCTTTTCTGAGCCTCAGTTTATCCATCTGTGAGTCAGGCCCACAGCAGCTGCCTCTCAGGAATGGCATATTAAACCATCATGGGGAGAGGTGGGGGGTGGAAGCGCCAGGCTGGGGACAGTGAGTGTTGGCGGTTTTCACTGTGACAAACACCCCAGGGGAGGCTTGAATTTTGGTCCTAAGAACAAATGCTCCAAGAGCTCTCTAATCGGGGCATACTATCCAGTTTGTTTCAGTTTGTTCATTCATTCATTCATTCAGCACGTACGCACCGTTCTAGGTGTGAGGGACATAGCAGGACACTAAACAAAACAGCAGCCCCCCCCCCCCCCGCCAGGCACCCCCTCTGCTGGCAATGCCGTTCCACTGGGCGAGGCTCCGGGGCGGGGCGGGTCGAGCGGACAGCCGGGTCCTGGCTTCGAGGGGTGGGAGGAAAGCTGACTGTGCCTGGGCTGGCCTCACCTGCTTCTTGTCCTCACAGCGACCGCCGCTTCGTTCAAACAGCTCGGCTGCCACTCTGCTCCTGCTCCCCACCTGTCGGGGCGCCATGGCCTCAGGTCAGGTGGCCAGGGTACGGCAAAGTGTCCCCACCCGACAGGCAGATGGGCACCCTCCCCCCATCTCCTGGTCACCAGGCATCCCTCAAGCGATGAGTGGTGATGTCACAGAAGGTGGGACGCAGCGAGGGCCCCGCCTCGTCACCACCCTGAGTTTGAGCCCCGCCCTGCACATTTTCTCAGACAGATGTCAAACACACACCTGGAAGACGTGCATCAGAAGGTTATGTTCCAGGGTGACGGTTTTCCTGATCTTGTTTCCCTGTATTTTCAAGCTTTTAGTAAAATGCGAGCTTTTAGATACGGAACGGTGAAAGCTATTTTTAATGGACATGTTTGTTGATGCAACTGTAGATTCACATCAGTGTGGGTCAGCATATTGGCGCGGGCACCACGTCCCAGCCAGGACATTGCCATCGATACGATCTGTCGGTCTTGGTCAGACGTGTTGTACGTGTGTGTGTGTGGGTGTATTTAATTCCAAGTAATTCCATCGCATAGGTGGGTCTGTGTCTTCACCGCTATGTTCAGGATACAGAAGTCCGAAGCCAGAGGTCCTTGTGTGGCCCCGTAACGCCCGCCACCCCGCTCTGCCCCCTCCCCACTGTGCCTCACTCCTGGAAACCAGTGACCTGTTCTCCATTTCTGAACTTCTACCTTTTAAAAAATGTCCTGTCAATGGGATCAAACAGCGCGTGACCTCTGGAGATCGGCTCTTTGGCATGGAGAACCCCCTGGCGCTCTGCGCAGACGGGCGCCGCGCCCACAGTTCGCTCCTCTCCGTCGCCGTCACTGTGCAGTACTCCACGCGCGTACGCACCACAGCTCGTCTGCGGACTCACCCCCTGGAGGACAGCTGGCCGGCCGATCCGGACTTGGGCCCTTGCAAGTACAGCTGGTGCGGACATTCTTGTACGGGACCCTGTGTCATCAAAGTCCCCGTTTCTCTGGGCCGTCTCGGGGGGCAGTGGCCAGGCAGTGTGGTCGTCACACGGAATTTTGGGGAGAAGCTGTCGAACTGCTGTTTGGAACGGCTGTGCCGTTTCACGTGCCCATCAGCAGCGTAGGAGTGATTTGGTTTCTCCTCACCCTCAGCAGCCCTTGGTGTTCTCGTGACTTTTTTATTTTAGACATTAACAATTTTTTTCTTTAATTTTAGAGAAGGGGAAGGGTAGGAAAAAACAGGGACAGAAACATCAATGGAAGAGAGAGACGTTGGTTAGTTGCCCCTCGTATGTGCCCCGACTGGGGACCGAACCCACAACCCAGCCATGTGCCCTGACCGGGAATCGAACCAGCGACCTTTTGCTTTGCAGGATGGTGCCCAACCAAGTGAGCCATGCCGGTTAGGGCAGATTTTTCTCCTATTTTAAAAAAGTGTTGCAGTGTTATGCTTTATAGGCCGGTCCCTGTTCTGCTGGGGTTAATTTTTGTGGGAGCTGTGAGGCTTGGACCGAGGGTCTTTTTCGGCCCGCGTAGATGTCCATCGCTCCAGCACCGTTTGCTGAGGACTCCAGCCCGCCTCCTCTGATTGCCTTCGCACCTGGGTCAACTCGAGCGTGTTGGTGGGGGTTCGTTCGTGAGGACCCTGCTCCGTGTCACTGGTCTCTGCGCCGGCCCCTGCACCGGGAGTAGGCAGCTGGGAACTGCATTTGTGTTGCTGTCCATTGTCGCTCTGATGCCCACCAGGCAGCCTGTTCCTTTCTAAATGCTCAGTGAAAACACTGGTTGAATGGATGAATAATAAGCAACTTCAAACCGTGGGTTCTGGGAGGCCACGAACTCAGTCTGGTAAACAGACTTCTGTGTTCGCAGTCCTTGGCTCAGTAGCGGTTTGCTGAATGAGGAAAGCAGGCGGTACGATTTTCACTTCACCAGGGAAGAGGCGGAGGCCCAGGGAGGTCGAGCCGCCGTGGCCTCGTGTCCTGCCCCGGAGCCGGTGCTGGCTGCTGCCCTGCCTCATCCCACTCAGCCCTCCCCGCGGCCCTGCAAGGCTGGCCTCTCCGTCGTCGGAACGCTACTCTCCGTGTTCAAGGTCAGACGCCCTCCCAGGGGTCTGGGTACGCGTTTGTTGAACTCTGAAGTCTTTTTGTTTACCCCAAGGAGTTAATGCAGTTTCAGCCCAAAGCAGAGGAGGTCTCCATTCTTGTTCTCTTTGGAGGCTTTCTGGTGGGCAGAGCTGTGAGATGCCCAGTAAACTTTTTGACAAGTAGCTACAGCCCCTCCTCCCTCTCCAGCTTCGCGACTACCCCAGTTTGTCACCCAGGGATTCCACACAACCTTCACTCCTCCTCCTCCCCCTCCCCCTGCGCATCCTTAATACTGTCGTCACCTACGGCTAGGATATTTCCAGAAATGACCGAGTACCTGGCACTATGCAAAGCGCTTTATATGTATTGGCTCATTGTATTATTACAACTCTAGGTGGGAAAGGATATGATGGCCCCCGTGTTGCAGACGAGGAGCCTCAAGTTCATTGCCGGTGGTTCGGTCACTCCCCCGAAGTCACGAGGCTGGTGGGAGGCGGGGCTGAGATCTGAACTCTGCAGGGGGCGGGGTCGGATCCCGGTTCCCAGGCTCGGGCTTGCTCTGCGATTCGCCTGTTTCGCGGGAAAACCCAAGGCCGGGGAAAGAAAGGGGGCCGCCCCCGTCCGTCCGTGGGACCCGACCAGAGCTCCTCTCTCGCTCCCACCCCTGGCTCTGCGAACGGCCGCCTGCCTGGTCCCCTCTGTCTCGCATGCGCTCCTGGCCTCTTCTCAAACGTCAGCCGCAGGTAGACGCTCCGCGACTGCCCCTCCCCCTGATCGCGGGCATGGAAAGGGCGTTGGGTTCCCATCGTGGCCGTCGTGGAAAGAGGAGACGACCAGAAGCATTTTGGGGGGAACCCCATGGATTCCTCCAGGAACCTGCTCCGAAGGGTCGTGAGGAGTAGGGTAGCTTCTGGGATTAGCTCTGAGGACCGTTTTCTGGGGGTTCAGCCTCGGGACAGGGAAGAGAGGAAGGGGGCGGGGAAAGGGCGGCCCTGCCTGGGCCCTCACAACGCCTGCCCCGAAACGGGTGGGGGCGGCGGGCCGGGGGAGGGTCTGCAACGTACTGGTTGCCCCCGACCTCCCTGCAGCGCTCGCTCGGCCCTTGGTCGGATGGAAGACAGACCCGCGTTTGCCGCGAGGGCTGACACTCAGCTGCATGGTGGCGCCGCACCCTCGGTAGGACGAGAGGGCTGGGCTGGGTGCAGGACAGAAAGAGCTGGTGGGGACGCATCATAACGTGCTGGTCTGCAAGGGCCAGCCGGCTGTGGCCACGCAGCCGTGGGGTCCAGTGTTGCGGAATCTCCTGGTGTTTGTCAAGAAAAGCTGGGAATTCAGTGTTGGGTGTGCGGTCTCCTGACTCGTAAATGTTGGGGGGAAAAAAATGCTCCGTGCAGGCAAAAGGCAGGCCATTGGTTCCTGAGTTCTGATTCGTCGTGCGTCTGTCGGGCCCAAACACGGCTTGTCCCCGCACCCCGTGACAGTCCTGCCACGTGGGGGCTCCTGCCCGTAAGGGCCAGCGCAGAAGCCCCTGCCGCTGACTAGACCTGGAAAAGGCAGGTTCTGGGGGACGTCCAGAGGGGGTCCCCCCAGGTCGGCCGGAGGTCCAGGGAGAGAAACTGGCGCGGGAACTGCGGGGCCGGACGGGTCACGGGGACGGTCCGAGCCCAGAGGCGTACACGGGGCAGGTGTAAGCTCTGGTGGGTGGGTTCCAGCACACGGAGAAACTCTAAGTCTCGGTGTCGGCGTTAGTTACCTGGGGCTTCCGTGGCAGGCCGTCACCGACTGGGTGGCTTCCAACAGCAGGAGTTCATTGTCCCACAGTTGTGGAGACAAGGAGCCCAGCATCAGTGTCTTGGGGCTGAAACCAGGAAATCAGCTCTCCACCCCACTCCTCCTGGAGGCTCTGGGGGTCCTGGGCCTTTGGCCCAACCAGCGTTCCCTGGCTTGGGGCCACATCGCGCCAGCCGCCGCCTCCTCCGTGGTCACGTGGCCTTCTCCTCTGGGGGCGTGAAATCTGCCTCCTGATAGGGGTAGCAGATGGCCTTGGGGCGCGCCCAGATAATCCGGGATGATAGCCCCGCCTCCTGTCAGCATTCTGAATCTGACGTCTCCTGCACGGCCCTTGTCTGCCCCAGAGCCTGACGTGGACAGGTTCCAGGGACTAGGACGTGCCCATCTCTGGGGGCCTTGCCCCAGCCCACCACAGAGTCTTTGGGACACTCCCTGGAGACTCAGAGCTCTGGGCCGGGGCCACTGCTAGGCTGGGCTTCGTCACAGGCCTGGCCCGAGGCTGCCAGGAGGAGGGGACGAGGCCGGGGCTGCTTCTGCTCCTGCAGTGAGAGGCAGGCCGGGGCCGCCCCCACCCCAGGCTCCTGTCGGGAGCGACCCCTGCCAGGGAGACAGGGACCCGAGGTCCCTGACCCAGACCACTGCGTGCTGACCCCAGAGACGGAGGCCCAGCTCCAGCAGACTGGGAGGCGTTGAGCTGTCAGCACTGAGAGGATAGGCACGGATGACCCTGTCCCCCTCTGTGGCATTCCCACAACGTCGCAGCCCCGTGCCTGGCACTGAGTGGGTGCCCAGCATTTGTTCATGGCTTGCTGCCTCCCCCCTGCTCCCGTGACTGCCACGAGCCGTCCCCGGGAGGCCCTGACGCACGGCCTTGGCCTGTGCCTGCTGCTGGGGGCGAGAGCCACACCAGAAACACCCTCCTCCACGCCCCATTAACCAGAGGGCTGCGAGAACTGCGCACAGTGGAGCAAAAAGGGGGGAAAAAACGAGATTAATTTATGAGGCGTCCTGCTGCCTGGATGGCTCATTGCATACCCGTTTTGGCACGGTCGCCCGCAGTGTGCTCCTAGACTTACTGTACTTCGACGGCCAGGGGCCCTTTTGTACGATGCCAAATATTCCGCCGTTATTGTTCTAGGCACCTCCCGTTGGTCATTGGGCTAATTTGTTT